TAGATATTTAATTAATTTATAAAATATTGAATCTTTATTAAAATTTAATTCTGTTTCTAATCACTATAATATTGAACTAATACATCAAAGTTAATATAACGGTAAATTTTGTTTTGAAGAATTTAATTTAAAAAATTGTTTACGTTAATTATACAGAGTATTTGATAAGTAACGATAAATAAGAATAGAGCAGACTATGTCGAAAAGTCCTCTACCATCTATTTATAATTTTCGCAACAAGATTAATTATTAAAAACCGTTGAATATTAATTTTGAATAATTTTTTACTCAAGTACTAGCAATTTTATAGAAAAACAGCCAGTGACAAAAATTGTTTATTTTTTATCTGAAAATTTTTTCAGAATTTTTTAGTTTCGCATTTTCTAATGTTAGTCAATATTAAAAATGCATCGGATATCCGAAAAGTAGAGTCTCTCTAAATTTGGCCCATGGGGCGATAAGAATGGAATTATAGAGGCCAAAATTATAGAATACTCTCTCTGCAGCGCGAGTTTACTAATCACCGTACTTGTGCGAACACAGTTGCGCATGCTAATCTGTTAAAATGCACTACAGTGTATATAACCTTAGCAGAACAAGTCATATGTACGTATGTGTCACATTATATATCATAAAAAAACACATTACACAAATAAGAAGAAAAACACATTACACAATAGAAGGAATAAGGAATTAGAAATAAAGAATAAAGATTTCAATCTATCAGAAATCGGATACACCGGAATATACGGTTTTTGATAAGTTAGTATCGTTATTTCTTATTTCTAATTCTTTATTCCTTCTATTGTGGCTGCACCAATTTCTGACAGATTAAAATTCTTATTCTCTATTCTCTGTTCTCTGTTCCTTTTATTGTAAGGAGCCTCTAAAAGTACATGTGAGGAATGCAAAGATTACAGAAATCAAATTTAGAGAGACTCTACTGTACTAAAAAGTTGATTGAAAAGTTGATAAGAAAATTCTGAAAAAAATTTTTAGAGTTCAATGAGAAGAAAATAAACAATTTTTGTCTCCAATTGTTTTTTTGTAAAGTTGATAGAACTTGAATAAAAAATTAGTAAAAACCAATATTCGGATTTTTAGTGATTGATGTTTTGTTAATTATTACGAAAATTGGTAGAGAATTTTTGACTCAAATTTGGTCCGCTCTACCTATGCGAGAGTTTTATATACACATTTTTTACTTATCACATACCCTGTATAATCTTTTATAAACTGAACAAATCTATTACCCATGGAATTATATCGGTATAAAAAAAGAAAAATGCCGATAAATGGTAGGCTTAGTGGTTCAAGTAACGGTTTCATCGTTAGAAAGGCAAAAAACAAACGATAATTTTGAACAAAAAAACTTATTGCAACACATGTTAAACTTAATGCAATAATAACAAACAACATTGTTCCGAATAACGAACTAGTAATACTACTTAGTAACGGTATTATCGCACTGCGAATGCCGTTTACTTTGTGATGATTTTATAATATTTTCCCCCTCACTCACAAGCAAATTTAAGATATTTCTTCAGCTACAATCGCGCTAGAAAATTAGTCGTACAACCTACGAATATGCCTTTCCGTGCGTGCTCTCTGAAGAGAAGAACTTTTGAAGTGAATGTATACACACACACACACACACACATATTTGTCCTATCTGTGTGCACGAACACTAGCATTGAAAATAATTGAAATGTGGCAGCAACATGTCCCTGTTTCCCTGCTCAACGTGCGAAAAAGAGAATTCCATCAAATTACAAATTTAAGCTACTCTAATTCAAAAACGCAGGACCTCTTCATTTTTTTTTATAAAAGTTTTATAATATTTCTACATTACATATTTATTATTTTTAAAAATCTGTAGAAGATTTTCGTCGTAAAATATTAAAACATTATTTCAACAAGGCTTAACATAGGAGTTTATGTGTTAAAAGCTGAAATTTTGAAAGTGAATGGCTACGTTTCGTTCCATACATTGATTGCAGTGATTGCATGATAGATATGCATGGAGAACATGGAAGACAGCCCATTTCCCATTCACTGTTCATGCGCGCATGAGAACAGTTAGATATCTATGACTCGCAGCGCAAGACAGCGCATGGACTACGCTGCCAAAGTGAGAACGTAGCCCATGCGCAGTTCATGCGATATCTATGTGCGAGGATTACATCAGCTATTATAAGCGGGAAAGAATAACTAATTCTATTGTTATTAAATAACTTTTTCTATGGTTATTAAATAACATTATTGTGTGAAAAATCACATTTCTTTGAAAATGAAAAACTTCATGTTTACAACAATTAAGTATAATATTAAACATATCCGATGCTGAATTCATAGCAGCAACTGTAGTAATTTCGATAAAAAATTGTTTCTGCATAAATATATATAAATATGTATATATAAATATGTATATATAAATATGTATAAATATTTATAAGCATATATAATTGTATATGAAATATATAATTATTATAATATAT